TGGAAGTAAGGGGAGTATCCCACTTGCAGACTCATGCTGGAATTAGCATTTGAAAGATTGCTCCCAAGTGGGCAGTTTCTTCTGTCCAGTTGAACTACTTGTGAAGTAGGAAATCAAGAGTTGATTTTATTTCATATGCAAACAAGGCTAGGAGGATTCAAGCTAGAGCACATTTTGTGCACATTTTCTAGTTGTCGATGTAGTTAGTGAAGGGATGTTGGCCAATAAAAGGGCACAAATAGTTTCCTAATTGGTCAGTTGGACTCTAGTGCATCAGAGTCATCTTTTGTCCCTGTTGCTAATGTCCAGTGCCAATCTCACTTTTACATTCATTTCAGATTTCACAGGCTTTCTGAAAGCCTCTTTCATCCTCTGGCCCAGAAGTGTCTTTGAGAACTCTGCCAAGGGCTTGATTTGCTGGATCCAAGTCACACTGATGTGACATGTCTGTGGTTACAGATATCAAAGAGAACCCCTCCAGTGAGGTGATGCAGGCAGCTAAAAGTCAGAGCGACAGCTACTTAAACCTTTCTCTTGCATGAATTGGCCTGTCTAGTGCTGGTGTGTTTCAGTGAGACCTGACTGTCACGATTCCAGTTTCAGAACTTATTTAACTTTAATGACCTTTCCTGGTCTTTCTTGTGCAGTAGTGCAATACCCTAAGCCAAAACACCAGCAGCTCTTTTATTACAGAAAATGCTATGAATTCTATTGGCTAGTTTTATGCATTTACAACCACTCTTTAGAATACATAGTAAGTAATAAACTTTCCTGCTTGATTGAATACTTAAGCAGATATGTTCTTCTGTAGTTTATGATGCTAAAATTGCTGGCCAATTTTCATGAGCCTTGCATAGAGTATCAGAGTTCTCTGGATGACACATACTGTAATTCAGATAGTACACTGTACTGGTACATATGCTCTGACATGTTTGACCACTACTGCTAAGTGAGACAGGAGGCTCCCTCACACATTTGTGCAGCAACAGAACTGAACCACCAGCAATAGAACTGAATGCAGAGAGCTAGACTCATGGTAGTTGTGGTGTATTCCAGTTCAAGTTATCTTTCTTAGATTGGGTTGGGACTAAGACATATGAAAACTGAATTAAGCCTTTGAAGGATTAGAAGTAGTAATTATAACCAGGCAAACATTTAATCATATGCAACAAAAACAATGCCTGCGTACTTCTTTAGCTTGTGTTATATTAAATCTTCTGGTATGGTAAGCCAGTTCAGAATAGATTTTTTTGTTTAAGACTTTAAATTCAAAATTAAAGGCTTCCTTAAACCTTCTTTTTGTGATTTTTCCTGTGAAGTTTATAAAGACAAATAGAAATTTGTAATTGATTCTTCTTACATTATTAGTATGCAGATTCATCTGAGCATGAGATTCCAGGGAAACCCGGAAGTTACTGCTGTTAAGCTTCCTCGAGAACCTACTGAAGGACATAATGTGCTTTCCCATATCCCTGTGTTACCATGATCTCTAATATAAATAGTTAAAAAGGAATAGGAGGAAGGATGTGTTTTGTTAGAAAGTCCTCAGAACTCATTGGTTGAGGTGGTTAAGAAAGCTGACAATGTAATTGCTGTGGAGACTTCTCTTCTGAGCTTCTCGACCAAGACAGTGTTCGTTGGCTGGGCTGAGGTCAAGAAGGCATGGAGAAAAAGGATAAAAACCTGTAACTTGACTGTTAGGCAGGTTTAATACATAACAGACAGTGTAGAGTGAGGGCAAATTGAGCATGATAGGAAGCAGAGATGAATCTCAAGTGTATAGCCACAGAGACTGTAACCTTGCCATATGAGATCCAAGAGAATTGCAGTATTCATCCATAGTGAGTACTGCTTTGGCCCAACCCTCTTGCCTTATGCTCCCAATGTTAAAGGTAGGGAATGAATAGGAAGAGTACAGCTGTCATCTTCTATTTTCTAGTATGGCTAAAGGTTATAGAGGTGAGTACCTGGAGGCTGGACAGCTGGGGATTCAAGAAGAGACAATTTTGGTTTTGTTGCTGCCCTTGGGGCATGTCTCATTGTGCATGTCTGTGCCTCAGACATGATGCTTTATCTTTTTGCTTTACCTGCCTTACAGAAGTCTGCAACGGAAACATGCCACTTTACAGTGTGCCTTACATGATAGCCTGGTGAGCCTAGATACAGGTTTGAAGCTGAAAATTTGCTATTTCTTTCAGGGCCTTTGTCGTGGGTTGAGGTGGCTGGGCTTTTTGGTAATGGGGTAGGGTGGCTTCGGTTAGAAGCTGCTAGAAATTTCCCCCCCAATGAAGCCAATGATAGCTGGCTACAGGAGGGACTTCCTGCTGCTGGCGAAGGGAGAGCCAATAATTATGCCTCTGTGATAACATATTTAAGAACAAGTTTTGTTGCGCAGAAGAATTCCAGCCAGGGGAGAGCTGACTAAAGCTCCCAGGCAGCCCCGCTGCAGGATCGGGCAGGGGGTGGGGGGCAACAGCAGCCTGGGCCAGGTCTCCTGGCACCTCGCCTGGAGCAGGCAGTGGCGTCCCGGTTGAGCCACCCGTGCTGCCCTCGGCAGTGCCAGATGAGCCGAGCGCCAGCCCCTGCGAAGGGGCGGCCCACCACAGTGCAGCCGAGCCCATGCTGGAGCATATGGATGCATGGAAGGAGGCCATTACCCCCCGTGGAAGGCCCAGGGTGGAGCAGAGTCCTTCAAGAGACTTGTGGTCTATGGAGAGGAAAATCCACGCCAGAGTAGGTTATTCCTGGGTAGGACTCATGGCCCTGTGGGAGATCCACATCAGTACAGATCACCCTATGAAGGACTGCATCCTAGGAAGGACTATCGGGGTGCAGAGAACCCCCCCCCTGCACTCCATGGAAAAGTGACAGTAGATATAGAAGAACTACTGCCTGAGGGGTAGACTCATGTTGGAGAGGTCTGTCAAGGACTGTTACTCATGTGAGGGACCCCACGGAAAAGGGGAAGGACTCAGAGCTGTGGTCCCCCCTGTAACCCATGGTGAGGACCATGGTGAAGCAGACTGTCCCCCTGCAGCCCATGGAAGAGTGACCTATGGAACAGCAGATTTAGAAGACTTGTTGCCTGAGGGGTGGACTTGTCCCCCTGCACTGTTGTGGGGGAAGAAGGGAGAACATGGAAGGAAGGAGGGGTGGATGGAAAGTGTGTTTAAGATTGTTTTATTTCTCACTGTTTAGATCTTATCCTGTTAGTAATAAATTTAGTATTAACCCCACGCTGAGTCTGTTTTCCTGTATGACTTCTCCTAGCTCAGAGCGACTTTAGTGGGTGCCTAGAATCCGGCCAAGGTCAACCCACAACACCTTATACTTTAACTGATTGATATCTTGTGTTCTGACTCTAGCTTGTATTGCCATAAATACTTCTCTTGAACATTCTTCTTTACTTCTCAGGATTGTTTTCCAGATGTGGCCCTGAAACACTACTCTCCTAGTATTTCTTCACATCACTACCATATTTATTACTTTTTATCTTCTGAGGGACATATCTAAGTAGGGTATTTACCTCTGGTGCCTTCTGTTTATAAAACAGAGAGCAAACTTTCAGGTAGTTATACCTACCCCACATGTAGCAGGTTCTCAGGGGTCAGTAACTTACCTGATATAATGAAAGAGACTGTATAAAATGTGATGTATAATCTCTTCATCTGTCCATTGAGTTTAGACCCTATCTTTTACAGTGGCAAGTGAAAACCATTCATCCATTAGTCACGATACTGATAAATATGGGGATCTTTGCAGGGATGATGGGTTTAAATATTAAAGCTCTGCCCTAAAATATTTGCCCTGATAATTGAATTTTCTCTGCTGTTTGAACCATATATGCAGCAGACTTTAACATTTAACTCAGGACTAATTATTTGGAGTTTGTCTACAAGCCAGATGTGTAAAAACATGGAAATGTTTTACTAAGAGATTGGTAAGACATGGAGATGCTAGTGTAGAAGGTCAGTGTATAAACTGGAACATTATTTATGTTGACTACATTTCTCGTGCTCATATTTTTCAAGTATTTTATCCACTTTTATTAATATTTTAACATCAGTATTATCTTCAAAGGTAGTTCTAAAATATAGTATATTCGATGTTTTTAAGCCTAATTTCCCTGTGTTAAATGATTTCTGAACAGTGTAGGGTTTTCATGAATTTATTCATCATTTGAAATTGTCTTGATCCGTAGATTGTTCTCAAGAAGCTTGTTATGACTATACAGCATAAAATAATTGAGCCGTGTTGGTTACTTTGATTGGATTAAACTAGTTCTTGGTATAAGGATTTGGGTGCAGATACCTACAATTTCAAGTCCCAAACTTGATTTCCACCAACATTTGCTGACATTAAGATTGTTCCTGCTTAATGACTTTGCTTACTTAACTTCTCACAGAAGCAGCTGAAAGTATTGGCTAGTTGTTACTGCTGTAGTTATTTTGGGGATATTACACTATTTCAGTTTATCATAGGCCTATTTTTACATGAATAATTAGAGAAAGAAAAACAGAAACTATACCTGATCTAGTGTCTGTGAAGCACATTGAGAACTTTCTTCCAGAAAAAGGAAAATTAAACAGCAAGTGGAAGACAACACTGCTGTAGTGACATTGCAGCAAATGCTTGTTCATATGAGTAGGGATTTCTAGAAAAAAATAATCTTATACATAAGGTGATTAAGACAACTAAACCCAGCATTGCTTCTTTGTTGTTAAACAAAGATGTTATTCTCGCACTTGTAAGATTTAGTAAGACATTAAGCATGTGTGCATGATGTCAAGATATTGGCTCTAGCATGTGTTCTTACAGCCTTTATAGTTTGTGATGACATAATTAGGTACATTCTGTGAAAGTAACTTAAAATGTTACTGTCTGTTCCAATGAATTGAATGTATTTGGTCTGGGATATCTTGCTGGAACATTTGCACAGCCTTTTGTCTGGAGGCTCAGGGAGTTCAGAAGTGAAACCATCTTTCTTTTGTTCAGTGCAGTCACGTGTCTGCAGGTTTCCATATGTTTCCAGCGTCCAGAGATGCTGTCACCACTGAGTGCCTCATAAAACCCCAAGATCCCTGGCAAGAATCCTCCTTTGGATTTCCTGGTCTGATGAACAGCTGTACTTCATTGCAGTTTGCAGACAAACTTAGCCTGGAACTGAAATTGCTGTCTTAGATATTCAGAGGTACAGATCACCAAGCAGTACTGAGCTTGCTAAGCCCAAGCTCTCTTTTTGTATTTCCTGCTTGTCCTCTTTTACAAATGTCTATGCAGCCCTTATAATTAGTTTGCCCTTCTGTTTCTGTCTCCCAGTTATTAAATACTTCATACTTGGTACATTGCCATTCTTCTTAGGATCTCAAAGCACTTGGAGACCTTAATTCACAACATCTTCTGAAACAGATACTTAGGGCATCTAAAGTGTTATAAGCAGCTCAGCTGGGGGACAATGGGCTAGCTCACCCAAGACAAGCATGTCTGTACACAGCCAAGAACAGGCTGCAAGTGTTCAGGCTCCAACTTCTGCTATTGTATTCACTGTATATGTAATAATATATACAATAAATGTATTGTAACTTAAACAAAATAATAAAAAAAGAAAGCATACAGTCAATGTGCTGTTGTTAAATTCCCAGTGTTTATTGTAAAGTGGCACCAGGAAAAAAAAGGTAAGTTGAGTTATGGTTTGAATCCAAGCTGAGTTTGTGCAGGTATATTAAATCATGCTAAGAATTTATATAAGAACAAGATACCCTGCTCCACCAAAACTGACTCTACAAGAGCTACATTTTTGGAAACTAGTGGTTCTAAAGCCAGAGTGAACAAAACAGTAGTAATTTGCAGCTGAGGTCTTTCATCAATCTGGAATTATTCTAACTGTATCAACTCCTTGGTTGCTATAAATCAGTTCTTATTCCTGCTCTGTAGTTGTGCTCAAAATGAGCAAGACTAGTTGTAAATGTTCTTTTTCAAAATTTCAGACTTGGGACTCAGCAGGATCTTGACACTGCACTATTTATAAAAGAGTAACTGTGGATAGATTTCATAATATAAGAGCTTATATGGGAGAGGAACCAAAGCAAGGTATGTGTGTGTGTGGTGCTCCCTGGATCCCAGAAAAACGTCTGGTTTGAGCTGCTTTTTCAGGTATGTTGCCACTCTGCTGTGAATGGAAAAAAAACCCCAAATGTGCTCTAGTCTGAATTTGGCCGCGGTGTTTCTCTTTCTCAGGAACTCAGCTGGCCTTGCACGTCTTGAAAGTGGAGATTTACGGGTTTTGCTGGGCTCTCCAAAAAGCTGAAGGAGGTTGCATTTGTGGATTTTTAAAAGCCATGGTTGTTGTTCCAAGACAGCTGGGCCCCACACACAGAATTTTTCATCTTAAGTTCTGACTTAATTTGCTCAGAGCTCTGTGGGCGAATCACTTGCTGCCTGCCTGGGTAGGGGAGGGACTCACGGTATTGAACTTGAGTCATCCAAGGTGGATGGTCACACTTGGAGTGTGGTCTCTCCCTGTGGGTAATGGTAAGAAGCAGTAAACCAGGCTCTGACATCAAATCTCCTGTTGGAAAAACTGCCCTCCTTCTCCCCTGAACCTAAATGTTTCGATATCTGACACAGGGTTTTCTATGTGACAGGGCTCGGCAGCATAGTCCTAAATGCAGACCTGTGCATCAACATCCTGGCTGTGCCCACTGTGGATTGTTTTGAGAATGGTTGTCCCATCTGCTCTGTGTTTACTTGCACGTGGAATGGTGTTTGCACAGAAAGGAAAGCTGTGAGTATTTGAAAATAGCATGAGATCAAATTCTAGTTTTCTAAAAGACAGGTAGGGAGAAGAGAAAGCGTAACTGTGTCATCTTAGAAGCAATAACATGCATGCAAGCTGGTGTGTTTATATTTATGCAAGGAGCTATTCCCTGAGGTACCTACCTTGTCTGACTGTATGTCTAATATAATTCCCTTAAGGCTGACCTCTGCTTTCAGCACAGAACACTGCGGGATTACTGCTGTAGCTGAAATATTCCATGCATCTAAGTGTCCCTCTAGCAGAGAAATATGCTAAGCATATTCTCACTGTGGGAAAGTTCCCAACTCTTTCAATTGTTAAAAAGATATATTGCTTCCCTCATCCTTCGATCATCCTTTGGACCATGTAGGACCCTTATTACTTGACTTTCTAAATTTAGCAATATTAGCCACCTTAAAAAATTATTTTAGTGCCCTACAAAACTGCCACTCAAAAGGAGAAAAAAAGATATTTTTCTCTCCTTCATAATAGTTTCTGTTCGAAGTGCTTTCTTTTGATGAAAAATGTTTTCTTTTAAACCATTGAAAAGAATAGAGAAGTATGCCAGACAGCCTCACTAAAACAAGTTGGCACAGAAGAGGACATGAGAGAGGAGGGGGAAAAAACACAAACGTGGAGCATTACTACTAGTGGGCTGAAAAACAGTACCATTTCACATCAAGAAACTAACTGGACCTTGAAAAAGGACACAGAAAATTGGCAGCATTTTAAGTCTTAGTGCAGAGTTGGTGCTTTAGTGATGGCTGACTGAAACCTGAGCATTGATGTAGAGGTGATATATGAGCAAGACTTTTTTGGGTCTCCTTTTAATTTTAAAATAACATAGCTTTAAATCTAAAACCAAGTTTGAAACACAGTGGAAATAGGGTATAGATATTTAAGCTGACATCTTCTCCTTTGTAACTAGTGGGTGGTGTGATAAGTAAAATCCTTTTAATCTGTGTATATGTAAACAAACTTCATGTCTTTCTGCCTAATAAATATTGCACATGTGAGGTACAATGACATTACTTCATAGGCTCCCACCTCTGTTCTTTGATTTATGCATTTACAGCACAATATCCCCACATGATATATACTGGATTATTCTTTTGGTACCCACCTGTCTTGTTTCTGCTAGACTCTTGGAATGCCTGGAAACCTTCTGCCATGCAAAATCTAGTAGGATAAACATGAATCATTTCCTCTTTACCGGTTTCCTGGTACTTTGTTGTGAGTCCCCAGGCACTAGTTTTGAGACTTTCCTGGAAGACACTTATTTCTGAACTACTTTTGGTCTGGCTGTACTCTGTGTCCTGGGAGACTGTCTCAGACTTTTTTCTTAATCTGCTGGTTAACCACATGATGCGTGAGTTGGTAGGTGCCCAGGCTCCCATTTGAAGCACATGTTCTACCTCCACCTCAAATCCTGGGCATTGAGGGTAGGGAACCTGCATGTGCTGCTCACACTTTTCCCTGCATTTTGGGTGAATTATGCTTGTTGGCAGGTCTGTCCTCTGTATAACATGGATGCAACAGAGTCATGCCCTCAGGCATGGGGACTGATGTGTGTGTCCCTGTGCCAGAAAATTCTTGTCTCCTGGACAAGTAACCCCTTTTTCTGAACACATACTTTTTTCTCCTCTAGTTACCCCTCAGCTCTTTCAGCAATACTGCTGGGAGTCTTTCCATGCCTTTGGACCTTCACTTAGTAGGGAAGCAATTTAAACCATCCAAGCATGAGATGCAGCATAATCGGCATCTTCTCTCTCCCAGTTTGACACCTGCAATGTATCTGCAGTAGCTCAAGGGGCTGTGTTCACACAGCCATGCTGTGGTAGGGGAAGACCAGCTCTTCACTGAGTGGTTGTCCACATACATCTCATGTTCTTGTCCCAGTGATGATGTTCCAGTGCATCTTGCAGCTTCCCTCTTCCCACCCAGTTCCTGGGAATTTATTTGGTTCTTTAGCTGGGTTTTCCGGTCATGGAGTTGAGTCTTCAAATCATGGCATTTCAATTTGCCATGTGGCCTGGATTTTCCTCCTATTTGTCCCACATGTGCTTACTAGAGCTTCACATTTAACATGAAAATAACATGACTTCTACAGTCCTTCCCATCTTTTAGGGTCCCAGCATGTTAGGAAAGAAGATAATGTTCAGGTAGCACACTGAGCATGTGAAGTGCTAGGAATAAGTATAAAATAGGGCTATAATGCTTAGCTATGGTTAAATAACTAGCTTACAGATGATCCCACAAAAGATTCTAGTGATGAATGTAGGAGTTTAGGGGATGCCCTGAGATGGTGGAGTTACAAGTGGCTCTTAAACTTCTCTGCTGACATACAAATGGTTAATTCCTAACTGCCAGTAGATGGCTCCCAAGAGCATTGTCCATAGGATATTTTTTCAACGCGTGAGAAGCAGGATTTTGGCGCACTGATAGCCTCCCGTGCTCCATGATGTGCCAGCTGAAGTTTGCACAGCATCAGGACATCTGTTTCCAGACTCGTGGCATTGTCCTGTGGCCATGAGGCAACACAGATGCCACATGCTCTATGGGAAGAACTGGTTTCTTGATGACACGGTGATGGTGGTGTGGAAGAGTGGCACCTGAGCAAGGCAATATGTAGAGATCCCGAAATAACAGTTGTGTTGTGGAATGACTCAGCTGGTTATACATCAGTAATGCTGGCTGAGTAGAGGTGATCGGAGTGGGTGCAAACTCTTCAGAGTCTTTCTGTGCTGGCTAGCAGAACCTGCCTGCTTGTTACATTTATTGAATGCCTCCAAGAATAAGGCTCCTGATTTTTCTTCCAGGAATGGAGATGACAAAGAATTGTTATAATGGCCTCCTTTTTATAATTACCTCCAAATGGATTTTTTTTTTCACAGAGATTCTAATTAGGTTTTACATTACTTCTAAGTGTGCAGGATACTTTTACCAGCAGAAGAGCCTTCTGGGAATTTCTGCTGTGTTGTGACTTTGAAGGCCTGATTCTAGTCCATTTGCTGAGACCTGTGTTCCTTGCGGCTACTGTTCTGTTTGACTCCCTCCTTAAATATCCTGAGAACTCTTTCGTTCTCCAGAATTTGAAAACCTTAATAAGATTTGTATTTTCAAGGCAAATGTAGTACCCTGGGAAAGCTGGAGAGATAGTCTCTTTTGGCATTAGGGGAATTCTCCATCAGTTGAAGTCAATCAGGAGTATTGTCAGAAGAGTTTTTATTTGTGCATGGGAAAAGATTAAGAGAGCAGAGTTATGCTGAGAGTCATGAACTAGATAGCAGTTTCCTCAAGGGTGGCTCTCTTTCAGTCTGGCTCTTGTGCCCAAAACTACCAAAGAAATTCCAACTGAGAGTGTAGGACTGCTTGGTCAGAACAAAGAGAGGGAACAAGGAGAGGAGTTGAGGCTGAAGCACAGAGAGTTTAAAGAAAGAGTGCTGTGACTACTAAGTCTGCGGAGGAAGATTTTTCATTTTGTTCTGCAAATGATGAGCAGACTGGTGTGGACAAATTGCTCAGGGTAGTTTTAGTTCTGAGACTGTGCAGTGCTTGGAACAGAAGGGTCTTTCTCTTTGCCTGCAGTTCCTAAACTTTATTATAATATGATGCAAACCTGAAAATACACGGAGTAGAGGAAGGGACCCAGAAGCAAGCTGTCCTTGGAGGAGAACCCAAAGCACTTATTACTACAGTTCTCCCTTAGAAAATATCATAGCTGTGCTGACATGCCCATATTGCTACTTTTTTTCTGCTGATGGATTACTACCATCAAGGAGCATCATGAAGCCATACCACACTGCACGCTCATCGTTGGTATGGTGTCATAAGACACACACCTCTCTCTGGGAGTTACGCAATGCTGTATTAGCTGAGTAAACACCTGGAATGGATTGGTGATGTATAAGTATGTACAGCACTTTAAGGTTAGGAATACAATGCATGTTGGTGAAGATCAGCACTCTGATTATGGAGACTGCCAAGTTAGAAACACTCAGATGCCCATCTGGCCTTCTAAGTGAGGAATTTCTCCACTCTTGATGTGTACTTGGAGGGAATATTTACATCTTTTTTTTCTTATATATCCATTTGTACATACATATATCTTAGGTGTTTAATACAGTCAGTGCAGCCAGAATGAAGAGGCATTATTTCCTATTGCAATGCACGTAGCTGGATGAATAGGTATTACTTAACTTTGTTCAGTGGTAAGTAATAGCTGGAAATCTGACAAATTTATGTAATGGTTTAATGAGTTTTTTGTGTAATGTATTAGCCTTTAGTAAAGTTTGGCTACTGCTGACTTACAGTACTGCAGTTCAATTTATATTTTAGGTACATTATTTCTGAAATAAACCAACCACCTGAGGGCAGTTGTCTTGTGTACAGTGTCTTTTTACGTAATGGTTTTTTACCCACAATGTGGGTAGTGAAACTGAAGACAGGACTTAAAGAGAAATAACAAATGCTAGG